GTTTTCTGCACTGGAGCCCCTCTAACACCTCCTAAGAACTTGAAATTTTTTACAAGGGATGGGCAAAGTATTCTCTAGCGCTTTGAAAAGGTTTTAGGTCCGTAGGTGCTTTTTGAAATTTTTGCTTTGTCCCCAGAATTCCAAATTTCACCCGAATTTTGGGGGGGTATTTCGTGGATCGGGGTCTTATGGAAACGGAATGAACAGAATTTTCAGAATTCCTTTCTTCAGGATAGTCGACTCGTCCGACTACTGATTAGATCCCTGTTTCTCGAACCGCATGGAAAAGGACGTATGATTATTACTTCTATGGCACAGTATTGACGTGTATATTATATGCACGTCAATACTATAACAAGATCATTATGCCTGTCCATCCACAAGCCACGGGCATCGCCTCACCAGCAGCCAAACCATCTCTAGATGACCCTTTTGACATCATGCAAGAATGGACAAAGGTGTCGTTCTTGCAGGGGTCGGGGCATCTTATACAGCACCCCGATTCAATAGTATCCGAGCACAATTGGTAAAATTGTTGAGAGCTGCAATATGCAACGGCTGGAATCTCCTGTTGGTCGTCGCTTCCAAACCAGCCTTTTGGTCCGATAGCAGACGAACAAGACCCACACGGCCTCTGGAACATGCAGCATGCAACGGTGTCTTGCCGTTGTCGTCCCTTGCTTCCAAATTGGCACCGCCATCATCGAAAGTAACACGGACAGCACCCAGATTGGTTGCCACATGCAAAGGTGTACGGCCACCATTGTCCCTCGCTTCCACATCGGCACCCCAGTACACCAGTAGAAAAACATTATCTTCAACATACTTTCTCTTGCTTTTACATACCAAATGCAAAGGTGTCTCGCCATTGATATTCCTTGCCTCCGAGTTAGCACCTAGAGACATCAAAGATTCCACATATTGGGAAGCTTTAAAGGCAGACCCATGATGTAAGGGTGTATCACCATTACTGTCTCTTGCTTCCATATCAGCACCTCGACGTGGCAAAAACTCAACGCTTTCAAAACAATGATCCCCAACTGCCCAATGCAGTGGAGCGGTTCCATCCAATGCCCGTGCGTTAATATCAGCACTATTGTCCAACAGTAGTTGGGCATGCTCGAGATTCGTTTTGATGGCAAGGAACAGAGGTGTCCATCCCATTTCGTCCCTTGCATCCACATCAGCACCATTGGTAAGCAACAACTCAACAATGCCGATATTAGTATCATGGCTCTCACATGCGAAATGTAATGAATGGCGTTTGATGAAATCGATTTCCGTAGTTCACATCTGCACACCATTATGGATCAAGCAAAACTCAATCATCACATGATGACCCAAGGCGCAGACAACTTCCAAGGCTCGTTGTATGGAATACACATAACGCCTGCTGTGCCAACGTAACCCTTGACAAACCTCAAACGGATGACCTTGAAACACTTCAAACAAGGAAGCACTACTCAATTCTTAACATATTCGTCGCACACTGACTACAGTGTTGTAGATTACGTCTTGGTTGTCTCATCATTTGCCCTCAGTACCTACCGTTGAGACTTTCGGCCCTGCTCTTCTTCTATGCGTTGTTGAAAGGCAATGCATGTTCCCCATGAATCTTCCCAATCATGAAAGCGCTGCGTCAAATTACCACAGGATGCCTGAGAGTTCTCCAATTGCTTTTGTACATGCACGGCTGCTGTTGCAAAGTCGAGAAAAGGCCCCTCCATATGTCCATATTGCTTGTGACCAAGTTTGCCGCGACCATGAAAGTCGACGCCCATGTACTGTTCATAATTTCGGTTGAACAATGCACTCGCCTTTTTAAATTCCAAGCCCCTTGGATATTCGCGGTGTACGTCATTAACATAATTGATAAAGAGGGGAACGATTCCAGCGGCACCAAAGCATCTGTGTACCAAATTGAAGTGCATCATTTGCGACATCCACCAGGAATCGTCTTTTTTCATGAAGACGTAAGGCATCAGCATCTTGATATATTTTCTATCAAAGGCATTGAGAATTGCATCCACTTCTGCGGTGATGACGATTCCTTTTTGGTTTAATTTCCTGTGCGTCAATCCATCTCGCAAGCCATAGAACACACCTTCAGACGATGGCATTTGCGTTTCCAAAAAGTCAAAATAAGATTTCCAGCAGACGGCCCCATTCAAGTTGTTGGTCGTGATGTTCATATCTTCAGGCATGTGGCATTTAAGGTCTACATCGTCATCCGAAAAGATCCAATATCTAAACTCTTTCTCTCTAATCTGCTCTTCACAGTGAGCATACTTGACCAGTTCATTTCTTCCTTCTGTCCAAGTTGTACCGGGGATAAACATTGTGCGACAAAAGGGGGACCATTGACCATTTGCCAAGACATCACATTCGGGATCTTGAGCTGGTTCATCAAAGGATGCATAGACCAATAAAACCTTCTTTTCCATGCCTGCATCGCGGAGTCGCTGTTTCCAGTCACCCAATATTCGGACGGGACCTTGCACGAGGACAACCAGATGTGACATGGGATATGGGTCTCCATCTCTTCGCAATTTAAGCTTTTGTGAGAGTGGCTGTGGTGGTGCTGTTTGCGGTGGTGCTGTTTGGGGCGGGGGGGTCTCATCTGTCTGGATCTGCGGAGCTACAGTCATGGCTGTCTGCACATTCGTTTCCTGTCTCATCTCCCCACCAAAATTCAAGTTCCTGTTAGGGAGCACAAAAGCCAACATAGCCAATAATAGCAGGTTAAGAAAAGATGGTACCGGTAGCTTGTTCATCTTTTGTTTCCTGCTTTCTTTTCTGTGTTGTTAAATACTTGTTTTCAAAGTGACAATCCTCTCGGTGTGCAGTTTTCAGCCCCACTATATCCAGCTACTAGAGCAAAGCACGCATGGCGGGGTATCGCGGCGGTACTTGGAAATAGAATTGGGAATCTTGTAATTCGATTAGGCAGGGCGCCCGGGGTGCGCAAAAATTCATTAAGGGGAGAGTGGGAGGGAACAAGACTGGATTGATCAAAACTTCCTTTGTTTTGCCTTTCTGCTCCGCCACTTGCTTTCTCGCTCTTTAGATCGCGGACGACACCGTTTCTTTGTGTGTATTCCGTTGGGCGTGCCTCATCAAAGTGTTAATAGGACTATAAACGGGGGAAATCTGAAAGAAAAAGGGTAAACGTTCTTTTGTTTGAAGAAAACGCGATTCCAGATTCCTATCTGACATGCGCGATTGAGTTTCCGATTTTCTCTTTTAAGGATGCATGAATCCTGCATACAGGTTTTGAAACCCAGTGACAAAAACGCAATTATGTCCTATTCCCCTTTTCTAACGGTGTCCGTTCTGGTACAGCCAGCAGCGACCCGGATGGACCAACCCAATTGCTGCCAGTGCATTGCTCAGTTCCATCATAGTTCTTGTCTTGTGATGGTGTATTTGCGCAGTCCAATGAAAACTGGAGTTCGAATGCGGGAATGGAGGATTGCACGTTCGTACTTCCGGCAGGTGCTTTGAATATTCGTTCATCATTCTTGGTTATTGTTTTGATTGCCAGAAAGCTTAGCAGCATAGTATGCCGTGCAATTTTCCTTGGGCGGACGAGAGACAAGAGTATAAAAGGGCTGCGGATGTAAAATCTTTCGCACTGCCATATTTGTGCATTACCGACTGTTTCCTTCTTGAACAGATGATACTTCTTTGTCAACTCATCAAATATCAGATGCAGAGTATCCTCTATAATCAATACCTTCAATGGGTCAATAAAGCCTACAATATCCGAAAAGCATATGCTCGCGTTATGTCGTTGCGCAGTTCTGGCTTGGGCCGCCTGATGTGCCATGTTGGAAGTCGTACAGACAACTCCCCTGAGTCAGATAGTGACAAGTCTAAACCGTCATACATCAACCGCAAGAGTATGGAGAACCAGTCATGGGCAGATGTTGTTCGTAAGATGAGCGGGGCCAGACAGTAGTAGTGACAGCCAGTAATCTGGAGGACAAAGAACGAAGAGGAGGTCATCTTGACAGAAACGAAGGAGAAGACTTTGGAAGAGGAAAGAGAGAAAGAAAACCTGCTGAAAAGTATTCTGCTTTGCAAACGACAGAGATCAAGAAGACCACTGGGAAGACAAAGGGAAAGGTGAACAGCTTTCAGAGGAGAAACAGAGCCAGTCACAATAAGAAAAGAAATAAGACTAGCAAAAGTTCGATCTCAAAAAGATTGGCAAATAAAAAGAAGGCCAAAAAGTAAAAGGTCTCGTTTTTGTTTTTGAACAAGAGGTCTGAAGATTTGGAAAAGGAAGAAAAGGTGGATTTTTTCACTTGTGCACCATGGGAGGCACACCAACTCACCGGAAAGACACACCTGTTGGAGCGATATACCACCGGACTTGCGTTTGCCCAAATGTCTTCCAAGCAGGGCCTCATGAAGTACAACAAAGAAGCAGAACTGAAGCTAATTGCGGAGTTTACACATTTGCTGGAGTTCCAAGTTTTCCACGGAGTTAAAGCAGACGGACCTGACGGCATTTCTTTGGAAGAAGAGAGAGGAGCCGGAGACATGATCAATCTTATTGAGGAAAAGATCAATAGAGGACACACCGATGAAAATCCAGTGCTAAGAGCTAGGAGCAATTTCAATGGTTGAGTGGAGCGGGGAATCTACACCAAGGATGAGACAGCTTCTCCTACTGTGGATCAAGACTCGCTTTTTATCACCTGCATCGTCAGCACAATCAAGGGAAGGTTTAAGGCCAGCAGCGACGTCAGAGGAGCTTACCTAAATGCAAAGATGAAGGATAGAGTAATCATGCGCATTTCGGGACCTGAAGTCAATATCTTCTTTGGGCTTGATCCCAGGCTAAAGGAATTTGTCACCGTCGTGAAGGGAAAGAAAGTGCTCTATGTGGGTGCGTAAAAAAGCTTGATTTTATGGTATGAACTTTGCTCGGAAACTGTCATGGATATGAGTTTTAAGCTTAAGCCTTACGATCTGTGCGTCGCCAACTGTAATATTGATGGAAAACACTGCACGATTTGCTGGTATATAGACAATGATAAGATCAGTCATGTGAAATTGGAGGTTGTACAGGATATCATTGGGAAGATCAAAGCCAAGTTTGGAAAGATGACGAACAAGTATGGTGGAGAGCATGAGTTTTTGGGAATGAAGATAAGCTACAAAGATGACAAAGTAGAGATCAGCATGAAGAAGCATATTCTGAAAGCAATTGATATGTTCATGGAGGATATCAATAGAGAGGCAACTTTGCCTGCCAAGGCTTATCTGTTCGACGTGAGAGAAGTGGCAAAAGATTTGAAAGGTCCGATAGACTTGAAAAGAATCATTGGTTGAGACAACATCAGAAGGATGCAAGCATGGGTGGATGTTTTGTATGGAATCCACGACAACTGCAAAAGTCGCACTGGAGTCGGAGGATGCATCTCTTTTGGATGGGCGTACTTTTGACCATGTGTAAGAAACAGGGGCTTGATGTGAAGAGCTCAACTGAAGGAGAAGTTGTGGGCGTGAGCGATTTTTTGCCGAACATGATTTGGGTGAGAATGTTTTTGGAACAACAAGGTTTTGAACTAGAAAAGAACAGGCTGTACCAGGACAATCAGAGCGCTATGAAGATCCTTTTGAACGGTAAGAAGTCAGCCGGAAAAAGTCAAAACACATCGACAATCGTTTTTATTTTATTAAGCTTCAATTGTTGTCCGAGGGAGTCGATGTGGTGTACTGTCCAACCGCAAAGATGCTGGCGGATTTTTTCACCAAGCCTTTGATACTCTACTAGAGGATGATGAGGAAGAATCAGTCAAGGAGCGTGTTGGAAGTCGTACAGATGACTCCCCTGAGTCAGATAGTGACGAGTCTAAACTGTCATACATCAACCATGAGAGCATGGAGAACCAATCATGGGCAGATGTTGTTCGTAAGATGAACAAATGAATTACAGTAGCTAAAACTGTGTAGAGAGTTTTTGGGATGACCGAAAGCATGATGAGTTTTCTTTGGTCATTCGAAATCTCTTATCCCAACTAAAGCAAGTTTTATTGACAACTTTAAGGTTCATAGTATTAGGACTACGTTACGCCGAACAACTGAAGACTCAGAGTATCGTAGGATCTTTTATTATCTAACAGTGCCAACCCATGACAAACCTCAAATGGATGTTCACTTTGACAGGAACTATTCGTCCCTACCTTGAAACACATCAAACAAGGAAGCTCTACTCAATTCTTAACATATTCATCGCAAACTGACTACAGTGTTGTAGATTACGTCTTGGTTGTCTCATCATTTGCCCTCAGTACCTACCGTTGAGACTTTCGACTCTGCTCTTCTTCTAAGCGTTGTTGAAAGGCAATGCATGTTCCCCATGAATCTTCCCAATCATGAAAGCGCTGCGTCAAATTACCACAGGATGCCCGAGAGTTCTCCAATTGCTTTTGTACTTGCACGGCTGCTGTTGCAAAGTCGAGAAAAGGCCCCTCCATATGATCGAATTGGTTATGACCAAGTTTGCCGCGACCATGAAAGTCGACGCCCATGTATTGTTCATAATTTCGGTTGAACAATGCACTCGCCTTTTTAAATTCCAAGCCCCTTGGATATTCGCGGTGTATGTCATTAACATAATTGATAAAGAGGGGAACGATTCCAGCGGCACCAAAGCATCTGTGTACCAAATTGAAGTGCATCATTTGCGACA